CCTGTAACAATTTAACAGAGAAAAACATAGTAGAAAACAAGTCAGATCTTATGCTTTCTCCCCCGTTACTTTCCTTCTGGAATATAAATATGGAGTCAACATTCTGAGGCAAGACCAACACAATGCACAGGGCTCTGGGCCCTCAATTAAGTTTTCTCGCACCTTGACAATTTTTCCTAAAGACTAGCTAAGTTACCCATCTCAAAAATTTAGCAATCCATAAGGAAACAGAGTCAWTTTCTTTAGGTGCAAGCAGCTAAAGAAAGAAAAAGTGTGATGCTACTTAAAGCATGAATACTGATTCTAATTTAGTAACACTAAATGCCAGAATACTGTGACCATGTGTGTCCAAAATTATTCCTTGGGTGGTTTAGCACAGAATTTCCCATGACTAGAGTACATGTGTAGACATAGGACWGCAATTACAAGGAGGAAAAAGAAACAAAACACACACAATCAAATCAGCACAGTAAAAAAAATTCAAAAAATTCACKTTAATTCCAGAACCTTACATTTTTGAAGATGGAATTGTGAAAGAGCTAAAAAGTGTGTGTTTACTGTTCCTCGAGTTGGATCCCACCCCAGTCTGATCCCKGTTCCTGCATTAAGAGAGGCGCAAGGCCATCTGCTGGCAGGGAAATACTGCAKTCTGAGCTGCTTACCACGCCGCTGCTGACATCTGAATTAAGCTGTAGATGAAGGGTGAGCAATGAAAAGAGTCAATGCTGCCACTTTTACCAGCCAAAAAAGAAGGTTCTGCAACACAAGGAAGAGAGCAAAGATTAAAACACTGGCCTTATGGTRCTCACTGGTACCARCTCAGGATAGCCAAACAACAAAAARTCCTCCAAACACACTTCTCTTTCTTCATTATATACATAAAACCCCCAAACAGTTACGAGTTACTAACTACGTAAGGTGTGACTTCCAGTCACATGCAGCCACAGTTGTTTTGACTTGAATCTGGTGGCTTCTCAATGTCTCTCAAAGCTCCCCACCAAGAGGAAAACACTCCAGCACAAAACAGCTACATGCACACAGTCATGACAGCCAGGGGGGCAGGGAGGAGAACAAACCACACACACCCAATAGACTGAGTGACATCAGCGGAAGATATCGGATAAACAGTGCAAGACRTGTCACTGCCTGCTCAGGGCCCAGTCACACAAGGTTTTGATTTTAGCACAAAACACAATCCCCTCAAGTGATGGATTTGGAAACAATTCTACCAGGCTTTCTGCTGCAGTAATCATCTAGATCTGGACAACATTGCTTGCTGTCCCTACTCCACCCCTAGCCGCACGCAAATTTCCGCTAAAATTAGCAGCCTAGCATACACGCTGATTTGGGTTTGCCCAGTAGGAACTCGAGACGTGTAACTCAGGCACTGCACCAGAGAGGTATCTCTGGTTCGTTATACTCCATAATGGCACCAGGAAAGCAAAAAGTTGATTATTCAAGGGTACTCCAAAGGCAGCACCTCTAAAAATGTGTCAGTAGTACCTTTTTGTTTATCCGGATGTGGTTGAAAAGGCCTGAAGCATTTAAAACCGTAGCTATTTTTTGTAGATGTAATGTTTTACAGCTAAGAGACATACCAGCAGAAAAGCTGAAGGGTTTCTGAAAATCTGACTCATAAACCACTGAAAAATGGTGTTTAAAATGAAAATGCCAAATGATTGCAACCACGGTCCTCCCAACAGCATCACGTCAAAACCGGAAAGATCGAAACAYATATCGGTAACTAAACGCCATCACGTTATTTCTTTCTAACTCTAYAAAGGAGTCCAGACTACCAGCATTTCAAACCACTGAAAGCTTGCAGGAAAAACACCAGAAGTAATTGGAAACAGCAACAAAATAGAAGTCACAGGCCTGAGCAACCCTTTCAGTAAGACAGCAAACGGCCATACTCTCTGCTGCAGAGCGTTTAGCCTGTTCTGAGTGCCTGCTCCATTCTGCCTGTCCCAAACCCTCCTTGGCAGCACTACAAAAGCAGAATTTCTGCTCTCCGTGGGGAGGCAATTGCTCTGCCCAGCAGCTGAAGCACAGGAACGGAATGGCCGTGCCTGGCCTTCACAAGCTGCCGAGTGGGTGTCCCCGACAAGATTCGCGATCCGCGGCGCCCGGGACACCCGAGCGGAGGAGCCACGGGGTGCGGGCACTGACCGCGGGGCTGACCCGCCCTGCCCGCGGCTCCGAGCCCCTGCCCGGGGCGGCTCACGGCTCCCGAACCCCGAGGGGGCTGTGGCGGGCCGGGGGAGGGCCCGGCCTGGCGTGTTTACCAACATGGGTGGAGCCGGCGGCAGGGCGCGGGCAGACTGGCTACCCCGCTGGGACGGGACACTTTCGCTTTGCCGGGAGCGCGGGACAGCGCTGGCCAGCGGCGTCATGGCCCGGGGACTCCTTGTGCTCCTGGTAAGTGCCCGCCCGAGCGGGGCAGCGAGCGGGACCAGCCGGGCGGGAACGAGAGGTGCCGGCTGAGGGCGCGACCAACTTGTTACCGACATTGCTGTTAATTCGTTAGGCGAGGTTTTAAATGGAAAAAAACCCTCACTTGCAAGTTCAAGCGTTTCTGAGGGCGCAAAGTGAAGGGAGGTGCGTATTGTGGGAAAGCAGACGTAAGAAAAGGGGGATGGATGCAGGKGGCTGTCAGGGACACCGGGTCGGGTCTGTGTGTGAGGGCACCCACGGGCAGCTGGCACTCGGTCCGCACCCGTGGCGGCCGGAGAGGCGGGAGGGAGGGAGGGAGGGAGGGCAGGTGGACAGACCCAGCGCACCTGCCCGGGCTGAAACCGGGCTCGGTGGGAGCACTGCGCCTCTGCCACCCCTCACACAGCAACTTGAAAACAAATACGTGAGGAAAAGGTATTTGAACCATTGTGAAATTGGCCCAGGAGAAGCTGGAGGAATAGTCCAAGCCAGGCGCCAGAGTGCGCAGCATTTACTGGAAGCAATAGGGCAGGGCCTTCCTCCSTTGCCTGAATCATCTCCTGTGCGCACAGTGTGAGTCCCTGCAGCTCCTGAGAGCTTCGGTCTGGTGGCTCACTGTCACCAGGAAGGTCACCTTCACAAACACCCACACTGAACGGCTGCTGGCAGCAGGACAAGTAAGGCAGTGTGTCAGTGGCCAGCACAGGGATCTCTGCTGGGACAGGTGCGCTGTGCCAAAGGGCTGTAGTGGCCCGAAGCTCCAGGGCGGCAAACCTATGGATGTGTGGATGCCCTGGCTCAGCCTGTGCTCTGAGGCAGCCCTGCTCCCAGAGCCCAGAGAGTGGGGATGAGAAAKGTGGCAGTGAGCCCTGCTGCAYAGCAGAGCCACACYTGCCACATCCTGAAAGGTGGATGCMGTGCACACTGMTTCCCCCACCCCAAATTCTSCCATTTTAGAGACATTCAAAGTCTCCTCACCATGTGGTTATATTGCTAACAAATGCAGTTTGTTTTGCGRTTTGTCAGATTAAAATCAAGTCTTAATATATAAACCACTCAAATTGTGATCTGATTTACTTTGTAATGGTAGTAAATTATTTGAAGTGTTTCAGARAGCTCTGTCCCTGACGGTGCACAAATCACCAAAGCATAGTTAAATTTTCACATGCTGACGAAGTGTGTATTATCTGTTCCTGTACAGGAGCAACAAACTAGTGACAGAAATGCCAGTGTAGCTCGGTATGTTGGAACTATTCAGAAWATATGTTAAGATTAAAAATACTTTCTCTTATAACACTGCTACAGAGAATATATAATATCTGTTCTTATTTTCCAATTGTTTCCAAATTTCAGTACCCTTAGAAAGACTGTAGCAATCCTACATAATTTTTATTTTTAAAAAGCTATTTTGTTGGGGGTTTTAATTATCATGTTGTTTCAATACTTAGAGAATAGTGAACCTGGTCAGAGTTTGGCATATTATTTTGGTTAARCTAGAACTGAAAGCAGTTGGTTGAATGAGATCTCAATTTTACAAGGAACTCCACACTGCACTCATGTAAAAGCAGAGATAGTCATGCAAAAATAACAATGGTCTGGATGTTAGAAAACATCTAAGTTCTCCCTGTAGAGAAAACTACATGTCTCTGAGAGACACTATAAAGGAACAGGCATCTGAAGAGAGTGAACTGTTATGTATATGCAATATACGACTACACAGCAGGCAGTTTTCTGGAAGTTCAGAAGACACACATTTGAAARCAGCACTCCCTTATCTCTGCACTCATCTTTCTTTCTCGTATCATGGAAACTAATACACACATTTACATGTGCATGCATAAACACCCATTGAATGATGGGATGACTCAAAAGTATAAGGGCCCCAGTTTTGGAGACATGCCTGTGCATGTTTCCACAGTAGCTGCCTTGACCTCTGAAGAACTCACTGAACAAAGTCACAAAAAACCCGTATTGTGTTACAGAAGGAAATTGGGAAGAGTTGGCAAATTTCTATTTGCCCAACTCTAAATCTTTAGCCACAACAAAGTAAGGTGAGAGCTGTTAATATCACCAGTACAGTACTTCTAAAGAACAAAACCCAACAAAAAAACCAATCATACAACTCCCAACCCCAATATATTGCTGTAATTCACATGTGTGTCAGCTGAGATGTGAAAGAGTAGTGGACTGAGTTTGGACAGGGAGTGTTTTAAGACTCTGGACAGTGCCTTGCTCTCACAGGCACTAAGCACGTGTACCTCCCTTGGAATTGGTTCTGGTTGTGTAGAAATACCAACRTTGCTGGGCTTTAGAAAATGGAACTAGTTTATTTTTATAAAATATTTTAGAATGTGAAATACTATTTTTAGAGGTTATTTTGGTGCTGACTATGAGATTCAGCCTTGGTGGGAGAAAAAAAAAATTGGAGGAAAATGATACCGGAGATTTTGGAAGCACAAATTTCTTGTCATAGTGAAAGAACTGGAGAAAAGAATCCTCTTTAAAGTACTCTTTGAGTGAAATTACTCTCTGAAAAAGCCATCCTGACATAGATAATACAAGGGAGAWTAATTACAGAGAAAAGCATATTAARATRGAGCTAGCTCTAGCAACCCAACTTCCACAAGGCAAAAAAAAAGCAAGAAAAATCCCCCCTCCTCCTTTTTTAACACTTAGAAAGCCCCTGATGAGCTCATGCACCTTGGTCCATGTAACAAATGTGGAGTGGAAAAAAAAAGGCCACATTTTGTGCCCATCAGCCTTCTCATTCATCAGCATTTATAGATTAGAAATAGAAGTGGTTCRCTAAAAATAAAGTATATTGTAAAGAAAATGGGAGAAAGCAGAGACTTTTTTTTTTCCTCAGGGTTAACACTGTAAAGTTTTAAAAAGTCCTGTATGCAAATTACATGTTCACACACTTTCAAAGCTGAGATTACATACCTATGAGCCATGTCTTGAGGAAGCTTTTCAGTTGAAGTAGTTTGATATTTTATGAAGGATACTCTGATGGAGGAAGAACTGGAGGCCTGAGAATCCCAAAATGACAGGAGTAKTCAAAGCAATGAAAGTTCTTGTCATTGTGCCCTGGAAATGCAGACGAAAACAAGTTTTACAGGTGCCCTTACAAGTACCTGTTTGTGAAAGCATTTTGGAGGTCTCTGTTGGAATGAAGGAAAGGAAGCAGGTGGAAAACTCTTTTGATTGCCTGGGCAATGCAAATGGAGAGAAATGAGAAGATTTAGGCTCATATAATAATTTGTATGGGTTCTGCTAAGGGTGRATAATTGACTGATYGACTTTAATCCCACTGACTGCTTAGTGCAATCTAAGTCTTTAGTTCAGATATGAATACTATTTTTTTTTAGATTGAGAAAGTTAAAAGAGGGCCTCTGTGAGTCATTTTAGGCTGCAAACATGCAGSCACTTCTAGAGTGTACACATTGCAAAAAAGCACCTATCATCCCTGCCTGTAGAAAAGCCCCTAAAGTGTTTCCTTTCTGATATTAGTGTTTACTGCTCAGTGACAACAGAAAAAGCAGCTAAGGTGTGCACAGGAAGCTAAAGGACTATTGACTCTTTTTTGGTTTTTCTTTTCCTGTAAGACACCCCAAAATTTGTAAATAGCGAATGGATTGCTTTTAAGAGGGTGCAAATCCATGAGGAGAAAAAAAAGGTTGAAAAAATTAGGGCGTTGCTTTGAAAAAAAAAAAAAACTTCACAGTTTTATCATTATTTCTTCAACAGGAAGACATTGTAAGAGATCCCTGYGAGCAGAGCCAGTGTAGGGGTTTGGTGCTGCCTGAGTGTCACATTCTGAGAAGTGACCCACACAAGTGTACCAGGAAGTTCATCTCCATGAGCAGAAGCAGAGGGCATCCATCTAAAAATGTTAAATTTCTGTACCACTCATACCAGCATAGCTCATTTGTTTAAAAGCATAACCAAGAGGCAGAAAGGTTTGTTCATGTGTCYCTGCACACACCATGTTTGTAGTCATTTGGTAAACACAAAATAAATCAGCTAAGTTTTACTGATGTTAATAATTTAGAAAGGTACTTCCTTCTTTGATTATATGGTGTTTTCTGCCTGGCTCTCTGGACATTTTCCTCCTATTACTTTAGGAAAAGCCAAATCAAACTGGTCGTACATCCCTGACTCCATTTTAGTAATTTTTAAATTGGTCTTTTTAATCCACTATTTAGTAAGATAATTCTCCCAGGCAAAAGGAAAACAAATCACACTAATTTGACATCCATTTGAAAGCTTCTCTGAAGGCCTTACATTGACTGTAATTTTTTAGCATCATTACATTGGGATTCAGAGAGGGGCACCCTGCGAGCTTTGGCAGCAAAGGAAGAGAGAGCACAAACCAGGGAAGTGATGGGCTGAGCATCCATACAGCCCAAGCACTTTGCAATTTAACTTGACAGTGCAAGGCAATTTAAAGAAATGGATATGTAAATTAATTTGAACGGAGAGTGTCTGTAGTGGTAGGGTTCATGGCTTTAATGTGGGTCCTCTTGTCCATTACATCTAAAGCAATAAACCRTTTTAATAAAGGGGTGAATATTAATATGTTTAGTTATAGAGTACCACTATTAATGTAACTCTGCTGATACTAAAACACACCTACAGTCCTAAACAATGTTTTTGTCTAATTTTCTGTTTTTCTCTCCTAGCTGGTTGTCTTCATTATTGAAACACGGTACAAAAATAACACTGAAGCTCTCGTGACATACAATAGGAGGATCATTGCCAGGAGGGAAGTTAATTGTAATGAGGATGAATATCATTTAGAYGCTCAATGTTGCAAGAAATGTAAAAGTGGTGAGTATGATTGTGAGGCTGTGTTGAGAAGTCTTTGACAGTGGAAACCACAACATGCACAGTTGCTTTGTGCTGGGATAGCTGAGTGGCATGAGGTGGTTTCCTGGATGCAGTGCTTCATTCTAGCTGTATCTTTTTTTTGTTACAGGACATAAGCCACTTCAAAAATATTTCTTGAGCTCAGTGAACCAATAACTTCTCACTACAGATACCAGTTCTCTCATAACATGCTTGTTATAAAAGAGTCAAGAACTCCATATTGAAAGAGGTTAAAAAAGTGGAAACACATGCTTTTGCGTATAAGATTCCATGCATTCATGGGTTTTCCAGTTTTTYAAGTGCACTTTTGTGTGGTGTGATCTTCTTCAGTATTAAGTTGGGGGAAGAATGGAAATAATAAAATCTTATGTACACAAGATTCCTGAAGTGCATCTACACATGCACAAAGAATATAGATTGCATATTTGGAATCAAAAAGTATTAGTGATTAAAAATGAAATTTTGATTTAAGTCTTGGAGCTGGTGGCTCCTCTCTAAATTCTTGGTTTTCTCTCTCTACAGGTTTTGTTAAAAATATAATCTGCCCAACAGATATTATCAAACACTGTGTTCCATGTGAAAAGGGAAAGGAATTCATGGACCACCTCAATGACTTGGACAAGTGTCACAGGTGCAAATCATGTGATGGCACACTTGGTATGTCTGTAGAAATACCAGCTTCAGCAATGACTTTCCTTCCATACAGGATTTCACTGAAAAGTCTGCACAATACCTGAATCATAGTTAGCATGCAGATTCAAAACTTTCGGTGGTAGAACATGAATGAATWCATGAGAAAAGTCATAAGTTTATCCTCCAGTCCCCTTTCATCAAGCACAAAGTAGGAAAAATAATAGTTGGTCCACTATTTCACCTTATATCTGTCTTTGCTTAGGCAAAGTCCTTGCAAAGCAGACACTGTAGAAATAAGTTAGAGTCAAGGAGTGTAAGAAGCAATGATGTTTTCTTTTGTAGTCTTTCATGTAATTGATAATATTCTTTAAAATTGATTGTTGTCTTTTGTACACTYAAGATGCTGTGTGGGATAAATGTATAAGACCCAACTTATACATACTTATACCTGAGGGGGGCTGAATGCCCACCTACCCCAGTGCTCTGCATTCAGCAGTGGAGGCAAGAGGTGCTATTTAGAGGAAACACAAACAAACCTGTATTCTGTGCTCTGTTTGCTGCAGTCTGTCAACATCCATGGCTGTGGGAAAGGACATTAGAATTTCCATCCCTACCTACCCATTTTAGTGTCTGTTTATGAGCCCTTTGTTCATGAATCTGGGTGACACCAGAAACTACTACCTGTGACATAAATACCCATCAAAGATTTTTTTTTTTTTAAATCCATTAAACTTACCTCCTACCAGTTCCACCAGATTTTTTTGTAGATCTGCTCTACTTGGATTTAGGAAATGATGGTTCTTCATCCCTCATGCCCAAAATCAAGTTTAGTGAGTGCAGAGACAGTTCATGATGGTCTCTGTGGTTGTACTCAGATCACTTGTTGGAATATCAATCTCTAGTGCTCTCCCCTTCCTTTAGGACTTCAATATGAATAGAAAATTTTCCTCTCATTTGCTACTGCAATGAGCATTTTTGCATGGGTGATGAAATTGGCTATACAATTCAGTAATTATTTAAACTGAAGGGAGGAAAAGGGTAATGGGATGGCTAGTGACAATATTCCATGGACAATAATGTAGTTTAAGAGAAGTCAGTAGAAAGACCAGAGGAAAATTATCACTCAAGTTCCATGAGAACCATTCTTAGGATCATTCATGTTTGCTGTATCCATGAGTGGTTTCAGCAACTGGTTKCACAGCAGAGCTTCATCAAATTTTGAATGTTAAAGTGGTTTCAAATTACAGCAGGGAACTGAATGTAGTAACTCAAAAATCCATTCTATTTTTATATGAAATATAAAATGAAAATTATATGAAAATTCTGAAAATTGTTTTCATAGTAGGTAGATACTTACAGTAATTTTTAATGCAGAAGGGTTTTTTTTTTTCATAGATGGAGATAGCATCATCATATACACTGAGGATAGGAGAAAATTAATTAATTTGATTTGATTCTTAAGGAGMATATTTAATGTGGATATAATATCTAAAAAGAGAGTGTGGAATTCCTCATCATTGGAGGTCTTCAAGAAAAGGTAAAACTTGTCAGAGAATGCAAAGAACCCACCTCCAGCATCAGATGGGGAGATTGGCCATGTGATCTTCTGAGTTTCCTTCTGGCTTTACACTTCTGATTTTGAAAAAGAAGTTGGGATTTGGCAGTGCCAAATGAGTCCCCTTCTGGCGAGAGCTTTATTGTTGATCAGTTTTCTGAGCTCTCGTCCAGCAGAGGTCTCTCTGACAGCTCCATTTCCCGGCGCTCCGGCAGCCCGGCTCCCTAGAAAAGCTGTGTGTGTATCGTAAAATAAAGCCTTGCAATGCCCGCAAAGGTGGAGCTAGCAGCAAGTCTCAGGAAAGAACTTGTAGGCAGAAGCCTGCTTTTCCAAACTAATACACTTTAAAAAAATCTATTTTTAGGTTGGGAGGTTGTAAAGAACTGTACCCCAGCAGAGGACACGAAATGTGCCTGTGCAAAGAACTATTTTTGCAGTTCTGTACCATGTGACAGTTGCAGTGAATGTACCCCGTAAGTTTACGCCTTCATCACTACATATGAAATTGCTAATATGTAATCACTTTTTTTTTTCTTCTGGTTTCAAGACAGGCTAAGGTAATCTATAACCTCAGGAAAGCATACTAATTTTCCTTTCCACCTTAGTTGACTTAGTTCAGTCAACTCAATTTGCAGCCATGAAGGCTTTCCAAAGGCATGCCGAAAAACTTATATATTCACTGACTCTGTATGTGCTTTTCAAAAAGCGTAGTAAAGTATCTGAGCTTTCCTGTTGTCTTTGTGTGATCTACTGTTACAYTGAAAAATAATTTCATACATTTTATACATTTTCCCACTGCCACAAATTTCCATGCCATTTTCATACCTATTAAATTCCAAAACCGAAGATCTTGATATATGAAATAATTTGCTGATAAAATGTGTTAGATTTTGATTTGCTTTCTTAACAATTTATAAAAAGAGAAAAAAATCCCCTAATAATTTTTTTTCATATTTTYTGCAGATGTGATGGTGCAATTGAAAAACAATGTACTTCAACTTCAGACACTGTGTGTGGAGCAAAAGGTAACATTTTAAAATGGAGCAATGTCCAGCATGTGCTTTATTTTGGTCTCTGCAGATTGAATTTGTCCTGTTCTGTGCACTGGCAGTAGTGATTCCTGACAGCTACAGGCATTAGTCCCACTGGGCCCTGCAGGGTGTGGTTTTCCCTTGATCACAGTGCAGGTGTGGGAGCTGTTACTGCTTTTTTAGAGATAACTCATGATAGGCATGTCCTTAACATATTTGGCTTTTGTCATTAGGAAACAACAGGAGGGCTTTTAAAATCTGACATTGTATTGTTTAAAATTTGGTGTGCTGCATATTGCTTTTCTTGAGTTGACTTTCATGCAAATTTTCAAATGTTCCAACCAAAACAGGAATGTCATCAGGGGCCATTGTGGCCATCGTGCTAGCAGCAGTGGTACTACTGACAATAATTGGAGCATTCTTGTGTAAGTGATTCCCTATTATTTATTTCTGTCATACTGTGAGTAAGATATGGAGCTACTTATTCATATATAATTTTACATTCTTGGAGTCCAAAGGAGAAATATCCTGCCCTGGATTTAAAAAAAAAGCTTCTTTTTTGTTTCAGGGAAGAAYAGACAAAAGGGTTTTGGTTGCATTACAGCCAGAGAGAACCTAAGTGAAGCAGAGAGAACCTACAGACTTGAGCCTTCTTATGTAAGTATTGTTGCTAAGATCATAAAAAACTCGGCTTTATGCAAAGAACTTTTTTCAATTTAAATTACATTGGGATTCCCCAAACATTTGTATGCCTGTCTTCTATGGCATGAATTAAGTAAATTTCACCACAAGGACTCTGGGGAGAAATAGGAGAAACACTGTATTACTTCTTCAGGATTTGCTGGGATGTTCCTAAGTCACAAGACTGAGATCAAAACTTCATAAATCATCAGGCCTCCACTGACCCAGGACATTCCTGTCCCCATGCATAATTTAGGCAATAGCAATTGTGAGGTGATTCTCCAGACTTACCCAAGGCAAAAGAGGTCTGTCTGTGTGGTCTGACTCTCTCACTCACAAAATGGGAATCATGGAGAAAACTAAAAGAAAATTAAAAAAGTATCATTAAAGGTATTTATCCTCTTATACAAGGCTGGTGTTTTACAACATTTGTTTCTACTTACCTCTCTCTTGCCTTTTTTTCAGGAGAATGTACCTTTCATAGACACAGGTAAGAGACAAGTAATTTCTCAAAATTCAGTAGAAAGAAAAAAAAGAGATACAGATACGTAAGTCCTAAMCCATGAAAAGAGTGTTTTTGTGTAGACTTTGCCACTGTCCAGACATCTCATTCCAGCACAAAAGTGAACACTWTAAAAGAAATGCCAGTTCATATAATGCTCATCAAGGCATTTGGTGGTATCATGGAAGCCTTGCCTCAGGAGGMATTTCTGTTATATAGAAGCAGTTACTCATTGTCTACAAGTGAATTTCAGTCATGCATGTGGTTACAGACACTAGGAGAGAGCAAACTGTGTTTCTGTAATCATGGATAATTATGATAAGGCAGCAGCAGTCCCACATGGAACAGTGGGACTGGAGATTCACAAAACTACACTGTGTCCAGAGGGGTGATACACAACAGGAAAAGAATATAAGCTCCAAGACTATCTCAATAAAAGACCTGTTCTGTTTTGAGAAAAATGGGTGCATGAGGTAGAAAAAGACAGAATAGGTTACAGAGGGAATTGATACTCTGTTTGAGGTGGTAGAAAGCAATATGGATGCAAGCCTAAATCTTTGAAATACATAGCATTTGGTAAGAACATGTGAAAACAGACTTGCCRTGTAATGTAAAAAAAACACACATGAAATATACTGGTCCTGAATACTTGAAACTTAATCTGGTTTGGATAGGACAAGTATCAACTCTGAGTGCAGGAGATAAAACCCAGTAAGATACATGATGCATTCATTTCCTTTCATGCTCCTAGATGCCGACCTGARCAGCCACATTGCTGGAATTGTGGCAGAGATGACACTCTCACAAGTCAAGACATTTGTTCGTCACCACCATGTACCAGAACCTGCCATCGACCAAATCATTCAGGATTGTCTTGGTGATACATCTGAACAGAAGATTAAACTGTTTCGAGACTGGTATCAAAGACATGGGATGAAAGGAGCCTATGGAACCCTAATAAGCAGCCTGAGAGAGTTAAATATGCGTGCTGTAGCTGATAAAATTGAGGAAAAACTGAAGGCAGCTGTATCCCACTCTCAGGAAGGTGGACTGCCTTATAATGGTGACACTGAGCAAAGCAGAATTTGCACTCAGGAAGGTAGAARCTCTTCCAATGGTAGTGATGAGCTAAGTAAAGCCTTGACTGGTAGTTTGGAAGAGACATAGCACAGAGTAATTTGAAAATTATTTCAAATAGTGAGCAATTTTCTAATATAAATAATAAAGCTTTAAAATATAATTTTCMTTGGCAGTTCTGATTGAACTCAGGTAAGCTATTACATTCAAAAGGAATAATTACATTTTTTGTAGCAATATCTTTGCTTTAAAAAAAAGTTTTGGTTGTTAAGGACTGGAAGAAATTTTCTGACTTGTTTACAAAAAGGTGCAATATAAGACTCCAGCTCTAGGATTCATTACAAGAGGAAAAAAGTTGTCATTATTTGAATAAAAGATACTGTTTAAATGCATGGTCCTGCATTGTTTAATCAATGTAAGGTTTTGCTTACATTAAAGATGCAGGATGTTCCTCTTTTTTGAAGGGAAAACTCTGGTGTTATGAGTCTACAAAGTGTACCAGGAACAGTACTTGAAAAAAAAGTTATCTGCTATGCACATGGATCAATTTGAAATATAGGTGTTGCTGTGTAGATTCTACTCTGATGCAAATAGGATTTCTATCTTTTATAAAAGCACCTGTGTGTGTATATGGAGTTTTGTATATGTGTGTGATTTTTCTATGCAAAAAACTTGATAAAAACTATTACCTCTGTTGTTCTCAACAATGTTTGTAAGCCTCTTCTAATGTTAGAACCCTTCAAAGAAATAGGAGCTGAAGCAGCACCACGGAGCCATGATTTCTGGAAGGCAATCTGCAGAGCATTTGAAGCTTTTCTAATGCAGAAAGTGATACAATGGAGTGATACATCTTTGCCATTAAAAAAAAAATCTGCATAGTACACGGCTTCTGTTTTTATATTGTGCAGTATATCAATGCCATGTTTAGGTTTGCTTTTACTCAGGTTAGCAAATCAGAAGAAAGGAGATAATTCTCTTGAAAAAACAGCTTACCTTTGCTCCATCAGAAAACACAGAGGATTCAGCTCCTGAATGCCAAGGACAGTACAGTGCTGGCAGATTTGCTGTGAGTCCTTTCCCTCTCAGCACACCCATTTGTGCAAATCTCACAAAATCTTTCAACACAAGGGGAGACTTTGCTGGAAATGTTTGCTTTTTCCAGGTCACATAGTAAGAAAGGTGACTTATTTGGCATTGTCATCAGTTCCCTAGGGAAAATTTCCAGCCAGTATCAAGACTCAGCCAAAATAGGAAGAGACCTATSTGGTCTTGCTCCCACCTGCCAGCTAGTGTGGGGTGTGTGGGACAGGGTCCCTTGGCTGCCACCTGACCCCAGGACATGGAAAGGGCAAAGCAGGACAGGCCACAGGATGGCCAGAGGTTGGCAGTCAATCCCTGGCAATGCTGGGTACCCACAGCCATGTGGAATTCCTCCAAAATGCCACATTGCTGCAACTGAGATGCCTGGGAGAGCAATACACTCTGTCTGAGTGAGGCATCTAACCAGCAGAAATGAAGGCATCCCACCTCTCCAGATTKCAATGGAGCAGTGACCATAACCAATCTGAACTGCACTGATCTTAAAATGGAGGCGCCAAACCTCAGAAATCTGGAACAGTGAAATAAAATGATAATTAATTCTTTCATCACAATGGAATTCCCCAACCTCGCCGTAAAGAGGATGGTTAAAAAAATATCCCTGAGCAATGAGTCACATTTTCTTTAGGAGATGCTGTCTCAGTTTGAGAATAAAATCAACCCAAGACAGATGTCTGCAAGGCTGAACTCAGGCTACCATTAACTCTGGTGGTTAGCATGCATCATAATTATTTTATTTTTTTTTACTGGAACGTTATACATCAAATAAGAGGATTGATTGTATTGTGCAGTTGGTTTTCCAAAGGAGTCTGTGTCTACATTGCAGTCAGCAGTGCAGAGTWGAGCTGGATCAAGCTTAGAGAACCTGCCTGGACCAGGGACAAAGTGATTTCATTCTGCTGACCTGCAGTAACACATCCAGTTTTCCATTGCCTCCTTTGCACAGGGGAAAAAAAAAACAACAAAGCCGAAACTCTGCTCTTTCATGGAAACAGCATCAGAAAAGCAAATGAAAACTGAAACAGAAACTCACCCTGGGAATGACTTGTCACATTTTGGAAGGCAGATTACAAAGGAAAAGTTCTCTCTTCAGGAAGCCAAAACTTTACAAAACAATCACATTTGTTATTCAAATAGTCAAACCAAAACAATTGTTATTTTAAAGTAACTACAATRGAAGAACAGGAACATAGAACTAAAAGGCTAGAGGGATGATCTTACTTAAGTTCCTTGCGAATTGGAAGTGACCACACGTGTGAGTTGCTTGTTCAGAAATTCCAAGGGCTGTTGGACACCCGCACCAGGTGCTCATTCATGCTGGGAACTGCGGTGTATTCCAGCTGCTCTGCAAGCAAACCAAACACCTGTGAGATGACAGAAACAAGACCAGTGTGGTACCAGAAGGACACAGGAATGGTTAAAGACACCTCCAGTATACAGGACTGTTGCAATATGAAATAAATTCTTTTCAAATTTATTCTGTGGGCTGCCGGTTCCTGAAAAGATGTGGATGAGAAATGAAGTGCTCAGTACAAAGAGCCTGAAATGTTTCTGCACAGATAACATGACAASCATGTTAAAGTGTGAGAGAGCTCAGGCCTATTTCCTGTATGGAGGAAGAGGGAAACAATACCAACAAAGAGCAGAGAAGAATAAAAGGGTATTCGGAAAAGCCTTGAGGATAGATGGTTTTCTTGTTTTGAGGGAAGACAGAACCTCAAAACTCACATCCCTCTCTTGCTGTTTGTCAATACTTTGGTTCTGGACTTCAAAGGGAAGCTTGCATTCCTGCTATCCTGCTGCTAGCAAGAGCAAAAATACCCACCATGTATATCCAGCCTCTGGTGCAGAGCTGCGGTTGAGAATTATGAGGGATGTGGTAACAATCACAAAACAATGTACAGTCAGTGTTTTCTGAGTAGCTTTTCAGTGGTTTTAGTTGAATTTCCCTTCCAAACTGAAAGCAAGGATTTTAACATTTTCAGAATGCTAGAGAGCCTGTTCCCATCATAATATAACCCAACAGTGGTGTCTTGCTCCCCCAATAAACCAGCAACTGTGACAAAGTGCAATTTATTTTCAGCCTAGTGGAGAATCAGCAAAACAGTCTGTGACCAAAGGGATGYGGGAAATAGAGGTCCTGAACAAACACAGGAGAGGAGTTAGTGACTAAAAGCAATGGCAGGAGGAAGCCAAAGGTGCAGTCCTTGGAGGGACAGCACTGATTATCCCATAGCCCAGGGGCATGCAGGACACACAGGTCACTGACCCTGCCTCCTGTASAGCTTCCCACAGTGATGTCGGTGCAATTGGCTGTCTGTAGAAGAGGATAGACTTACCTGTATGTGTGTCATTGGAATATGAACAAGAAACTGATGGAACAGAAGTACCCAGTTTAATTTCCTGCATATTTATCCTGCAGTCAGTAATAGGATTGATATATTCTCCAGATTATCACTATCTGAAGATTMATATTTCGTGGTCTTTTCCTAGTCTTTCCTTAAAACAACAGGAAGATCCCTCTCCAGACTTATCTCTGGGCTAGCTGGAGCTGCAGGGAATGTTTCTTGGCACTCCTCAAATCGCTGTGGAGCAGTGAGGCCCCTGGCATGCCACTTTCCATCCTTGCTGGGGCTGGCACCTCCGCTCTGCTGGGTGGGGACACGGCTGTCACTGCGGCTCCTGGGAAGGATGGCCRCGATCTGGGCTATCTCAAAGGGTCTCGAGATTCAAGGTCTGTCTCTAGACATGAGGTCCACACTTCATTCTGTACTTTGACAGGGCAGGAGAGCAACTAAATTCATACTAGACAGTGTCCATTTATCCAGGAACCAAAAGTGGTCACTAAATAACGCCAGAAGAGAGGTGTTTTTAGACCTCGCAATCAAATCTCTTCAGACTTGAATTCCTTTAAGCTTGTTTAAACAGCCAGGCTGGGCGGTGGGGGTTGTTTGTGGGCTGGGGGCGGCAGGCAGAGGCTGCCCGGCAATCGGAGGAGCTGCCCTTGCCCGTCCCCGCGGGCAGGTGGCACTCTGTGTCCGCGCAGTGCCACTCGTGTCCCCTGCTGCCGTCCCTGGGCTGGCTCAGCGAGGACAGGCAGCCTTGCCAGAGCTCCCTCCCCGCCTGCCCCGGCTCCTTGCCGGCTCTCCGGCTGTCAGCATCTCGGGCATTCATTCATTTCTCCCGGGACAGACGAGCTCGCACACACAGCGAGCTGCAGGCGGGCCGGACGGGGACACGGAGCCTTTCTATGACACAGCTGAGCCAGTGCCAGCTCTGATTTTACATCTGATCCCTCGAGCCATGCTCTGCAAGACTTGAAACGACACGTACAGTGTCACCAAAACGCCGTGTGACAGCTTTTGTRGCACTCCCCGGGTTTGAGGATGAGCACAGCCTGACTCTTCTGCCAGCCCGAGGATCAGGCAGCTCAACAGTCCCACGCTGCAGCACAGCAGAATCACTTGGCATCACTCGTCTAAATGTAATACCACATGGAAAAATCGGGTCATAACAACACATCCCAGGCTGCAAACTGAACTCTGAAATCTGGATTTGGCACCGTGTCTGAAGTACGTGCTGCAGTACCTGTGCCAACATGAACGTGCATTGCAGTCTTAATAAATTTTCACAAATAAATCAGTTAAGAATTAGACATTCATTTTGATTCTTAGTTACACAACTGCCAAAACACGATCAAAGGTAGGTGTTAGCAGTGCCTGTGAAAGCTGAGGAAAGACAGGGTGGCTGTCCTAAAGTTTGGCCCTCWGAAGGCCAAGACTTTGTATCAACACAGCCAAGTGAAAAAGCAACTGGTGAAGCTGAAGGAGAAGGAGTGGGTGGTAAGAGTTTAGAGGCTTTCTGGAGGAGCTGGTTTATGAATAATACCCATAATTACTGCAACATGCTATTGTAAATGGTCTTGTCTTCATTCTTTTCCAGGCTCATAAGTTAGCCTATCATTTTAAATAACTACACATCAAATGCAGTTTTGACTTCTGTTCTAGCTAGAGAAATGTTGGGAATAACAACCTTAGGAAGTTTGTTGCCAAGATTTTTTTTTAATCTTACAAGGTCTGTGGCCGTTGCTTCCATCAGAAAAACTGGAACAACTGTGAGTGCTTGAAAATATATAATCCAGCAGACATCAGAGAGAGGTTGTAAAGTATTCCACGTATTGTGGGAATTTTGTTAGGCCTATTTATGTAACTTTGGGAAACACCAAATCAACAAAGAGCCGTGCAAGGTACACAGCTCCTTTACTGAGATGCCTTTCCTTAGAAAGCACCTTCATGTAGGAGCTTTATTCACATCTCCCAGCAGACTCAGAAGCCTCTCTCTGACCCCAGAGAGACCACTACAAGGAACTTCCCAAAAGCAGCCCATCAAGATGCTCTRAGGAAAGCCTTACAAGTCCTCTTGTAATTGCTTGCCTTTACAACTGTAAGACCATTAACCTGCTGCTAGTGCAACTTTTTAAGCTCTCTCCTTGCTTTTAAGTGAGAACAGATGAGTAAACTAATGAGCTGGGATATGGGGGCTGGATACAAGATAAAAGATCTGTTCTGCGTAAGTCAACAGTCTTTCAGAGGCCAGCTTCATACTCCCTCATCCAAAGACATTCCTACGTAATCACAATAAAAGTGCACAGATCTTCCTGGAAATGCCGTTTTCAACATCCCCTAACTCATCCAATTATAAACCAACCACCAAAAGAACATGCAAAAGCATTTATCATGAAGAAATACTGTTTTCCTATCTTTTCTCTCAGCTGTGGACTT